CATCCAAGCTGCCATCCCCTCCGGCTACCAGTCATCTGCAAACCCAACAGACCTGGAATCCGGTGCCCAATGGCACGTCTTACCGGGGCCGAACACCTCCCCGACAATTGCCGGAGATGGAGCTGCCGCCGTCTTCTCGGAAGCGCAGTTGGGATGACGCAGGCGAGGAGCATCCCAGCAAGCGCGTGGCCGTGTCGAACAACACCTATTCGGCTCCGGTTTGCACGATGGCTCCTGCGAGCACGGCCGTTCCCGTGCTGCCGCCAGTCGTGAGCACGGGCACGATGCCGGTGCCAACCATCGCTGTGCCTGCTCCCCGTCTTCCCCGACCCAACAACTATCAACCTCCCTCGACCTCCATGGTCCCGACTGCCGTGCCGCCGCCGCCTACTGTTTCTCAGCTCCCTCTGCCCAACGTGCGGGCCATGTCTTCGGTCTACAACCCCCCGACGACGTGGCCTCAACAGCAGATACCTGCAACAACGACGACCGCGGCACCCGTACCCACGGCTGCTCCTTTGTACAACCCGGCGGTCTCAGTCTCCGATGCTGGACGGCGCCAGAGTCCATTCCCCGTGACCACCTCGACGAGTACCATCTCTCCTTCCTCCTCCTTTACTGCCCACACCTCTCAGAACCATCTCTCACCGTCGTTTTTCTTGGTCAACCGGCACTCGCCGTATCGGCCTGTTCGTGCGGTCAATACGCTCCTGATTCCTCCGCCGTCGACATCTCTTCATCAGCCGCGGAACCTGTCTGTGGACCAGATGCATTACCAGCCACTTGGCAAGAGTGTGTCTGAACGGAGGACGGGTGTGCTGCCATATGTTCATCAGGAGGCATGGCCACAGGGGCCGATTGCGCAGCCGAACTTTCTTCCTAGTCAGACGTACTCCACCTGAAGTGCACTCTTGACATTGTTCCCACCTCTGTATAGGATATCACTTCCTTTCCTTTCCTTTCCTCTCCTTTCCTCTTCTCTTTTTCGAGAGATCTTGACGAGGCGGCTGCATTTGTCACAGCATAGACGGGTTTTCATCATGATTTATCATTTTGTTCAGGATATTACTATGTTTTGTTTCGATTTCTGGCGGACTATGCGGGGCTTGATTTACTTGGTTTAAAAAAAACTCTTTGCATGGGCTATGGCGTCTAGACAGTCTGTCTGTGCATTCTTTTTGAGCCTGTGACTTGTATCGATTGAGACTCAGGCGGCATGTTGCATTATCTATGGGAATTTGCATTCGGAGGCGTTTCTGTGGTTTTTGGGTGGTTGGGATAATTGGTTATTGCTAAATGGGATGAGAAATAGAATGGGAATCTCGTGATGGCTCGAATCGTCACACGTGACGTGCATCGGCATTAAACAGGATTGCCTAATCTTCGAAGTATTCTGGTAGTGGAACTGAGGCTAAATCTTGGACTGTTACGAAATGACGAGACTTGCAGTAAACAGGTAATAAGAGAGCGCCTGATCAGGAACAGTAGTCCAGAATTCCGGACGCATTTGTATTATTATATCATTGTTTTATTAATAACAAGAGTATACTGACGAAGGCGAGGGATAAACAGTTCAATTATTCAATATGTATGCAATAATGGCTATGATACAGGGATATACAGGCATGATATATTACATGTACATACATATGTACAGTACAAGTATTTGTGACTGTTGAGAGTTCATTATCATCATCATATGATGATGATAACCACCGAGTCAGTGAGGACCGTAGTCGTCCAACTTGGTCTTCTTGACCAAGCTCTGGTGGTTCTCATTATTATTTTTCATTATTTTCATTATTATTATTATTAGGATTATGGTGAAGCATTCTCGCTCCTCCATTTGAATATGTCCGGGATCTCCGGGATCGGATGCTTCCGGTCAAACTCGTCCAGCTCGCTGCCGTCGCCGCTGTATCCGATCTCGTCGCGGTTGTCGTCGATGATCCGTCCGTACTCGAGCAGTAGCCGGAACACGTAGATCTCCATGTCCTCCCTGCGGAGGACCCGGTGCGCCCAGTCGCGGCTCTGCGCGGCGATCAGCCTCGCCTCGAAATCGTGCGGGCGCACGTACGCGTCTGCGTTCGCGTAGTTGTCCTCCGGCTCGCGGTCGAAGCCTGGACGGCCTGTGCCGATCAGGTAGGTCATGATCGTGTACAGGTCGTCGTAGCGGTTGTCCAGCGGGATGAAGTGCCGCCATGCGAACAGTCGCGAGTCGTGCCATTCACGGAAAATGGTCGCCTTGATGCCCAGCGACTTGCTCTGCAGGAATGCCCGCCACCGGCCCGAAAAGCTGTGCCCGTCCACGTCCACCAGGTACCGGTTCTTGAACTGCTCCGAGAGCGACACCCGTGGCTTGTACGTGAACACGTCGTCGTAGAACGAGCAGTTTGGGATGCAGCCCCACGACTCGGTGAAGCCCACGTCGAAATGCTTGTTTGCGAACCACGACGGCTGGAAGTGGTCGAAGTTTCGATACTCGCCCTCGCGGTGCAGAGCTTCGCTCAGGATAGTCACCTCCTGGTCGCGCATGAACGTCCCATTGGCGAGCCGGACCAGGCGTTGCCGGTGCATGTTTTGCCAGTTGTCCGCCCGCTGCACGCCGCCCGATGTGACGCCGCGCCAGATAAGAGTATCGGCCTTGCGCCCCCACGCCCAGTCGTGTCTTGCATTATAGACGTAACGCTTGTCCCGGAGCGTATACATGCTGGCCGGGAAGAGAATGTCGTTGTTGACGCTGACCTTGCACTCGCTGAAGATCGGAAGCAGACGCTTCGACGCAATGATCGTGGACGCCGAGTAGAGAAAGCCATGCTTGTCCTGCAGTGCTGGTCCCACCGTGCACAGATCTGAAGAGAGATTGAAATTCGTTACCAAACCGCCCAATTTCGACTTGTACAGAGCGTCCGCTTCGACGATCGTGATGGACGAATTCCGCGCCGGCGATTCCGGTGGGCATGCGGGCGTCGCTATATCCATGTACTGCTTTGAAGGGTAGGGAAACCATTCTGGGTTAGTCGCATCGTCCCAGTCTCCCGGCGCCTTGTGCTTGTCGCGAAAGAACTCCATGCCCTTGGTGAAACTGTCAATCGTATCGGGGATCATCTGCCGGGACTCTACTTCCGCAGTTAAGAGCGCCTGCATATCTTCGAAAGGAACGACCAGCCGGGGCTGGTCCAGCACATTGATTGCGATATCCATGTCCGGCAGATACTTCACAAAAGGGGAAATGAGTTTCGCCATCGCCTCCGAACGCCAGCTCTTGTTCGTCAGGAAAGAGACCCTCTTGTTGCGGATGTGCACGCCCGATACTCCGTCTGCCTCGTTCTCAGACAGCTTGGCAGCCATCTTCCGGATGACCTTGGGATCGACCGCCCAGAATGGGCGTAGATCGTCCATGATCTGGTCGAAGTCGTCGATGTTGTGGACATTTCGCTTGCGCGCGTAGATATACCACTGAGATACGGACAATTCTTAAAAATCGGGACCATAAGCAGCGCTCGCTGATGAGACATACCTCTTTGAAGCCTGGCGGGGGATGGCGTCCGTATTTCTTTCGGTATTTGGCGACAGTCTCTCGAAACGTCCTGGACCGATCCTCCTCATATCGCAGCCACTTCTCGTCCGCCTCTCTTATCAAACCCGCGATGGGATGGCTATTGTCTCGTTGCTCGAAATCGAATTCGGTGAAATCAAAGTCATCTGAACCGGGGATCTGGGACGGCCTTTAGCTAGCTGCCCGCGTGCAGATCATCTTGGGGGTTGCATACCTGACTGCCTCGGAGCAACACTCCGGCTCCCGGGGAGTACCACTCGTCTCCTCGAAGAAAGAAGAGAATGCTCAACAGCGCGATGATGGCGCATAGCGGCTTCAGTGTGAGCAGAAGCTTTCGCTTGCCCCGCAACCTTCGTTCCAGCTCCCACATATCTGGGAGACCCCCGCAAGGGGCCAAGTCTGCCGATCGAGAATGCCAGGCGCAGCTGACAGTGAAGATTCCAACATGAAAGCAGGGGTTAAAAAAAAATCTTAGCCTCTTCGAGTCCCCTGGGCCCACCGAAGCTGGGCATTCAAGCGACCTAGTACTCTGTAGACGCACGACATTGCGCAGGAATAGCACGGTTGGAAGGTGGGGGGGTTCAATCAGTAGTTAATGCATGCTTACGTCGCGGAGAGGCCCTGCTGCGGTTTAATTATTATTAGCCAGAATAACGCCATCGCTGGCCAGCTTTTGGAGTGCCCCAGGGGGGAGCAAACTCCCCAGGAGTTGACGAAAGAGGACGCGTCGCCCAAACCGGTCTTGTGGCTTGCGGTAATTGTTCACTACTCCGTGGTATTCCGGCGTGTCCCTGAACTGAGGCCAATCTGATAATTGAGAAGCACCTAAACAGGCTAAACCGATCTAATTTGGAAGGAGCCAATACCTTAGCCTTGGAATGGTCTCGCCCGGACCAATCAGATTGCTGCCTCGGAGATTAGTTCACGCGGCAGCTGCGAGGGTCCGAGCTTATTATTATTTCGCACGTACGAGAAAAGCCTTCAATTTGCTCATGTGGCTTGCAAAGTATTATACTCCGTATTCGGAGTAAGATTACGTTGGCTCATAATAAGCCTTACCCCACGAATATGGGGTATACGAATACCTATTACTACTCCCCAAAAGCGTATAGTAAACTACTCCTAAGCCTTATACCTAAAGGCTTCGGACCTTCAGCCCTCCGCATGCCTGCAAGTAAGCCTATATAAGGCGTATATAGGGAAGCCAACGTAAAGCCTATAGGGAAGTGCAACTCATAGAGTGTGGAAGATAGATACCTAAGGCAGGCAGGCGCGTAATTGTGCTGACTAAGACATTGTGACCAATCAAGTGTTAGTTAACTAACTAACTAACTAGTTAGTTAACGTAATTCCCAACCGAACCGGACACCCGACCGAACCGGACACCAACATCGAATTCTGACCGCGGTCGAAAACTTGAAGCTATACACAACAACCAAAACACGTGTATTTCATTGAGTTCTATATATTTAGACGTGTAGGACAACCAGTTCTAATATGTCCCTGAATATGGCAATTAGAACATGTTGGTGGAGCACGTCTTGGCGCGTTGGAAGGTAGAGATGCAGAACCCATAGCTATCTCCTGTATCTCATCTCCTTGCTCGTTTCTCTGGTGTATGAGATCTCTCGCTTCCTGTACAGAAAGGCCTTGATTAGGAGACATCTGGCGCCTTGATCGCCCTCGTTTCTGCTTCTCTTTCTCGTTTGCCATACGGAGATCGTGGTTTTCCTGTGCTAGAATAGCAGCGTTGT